TTCAAATTTAGGAACTTTTACTTCCTTTTTAATACATTTCTTTATTTCTTTAGTTTTCATTTTTGCGTAGTCTTTGTCTTACACTTATTATGTAAATACTAACAAAAAGGGGACTGAAAACAGTTGCAGTTTCCTTTGCAGGGCTTTTGCCTTAGGGTACATCCCTGCATACCCCAAGCACAGTCAAATTCCTGTGTTTTAAAGTTCTTGAAATAATTCTTCTCTGTGTGATCAAGCAACGTACTCAATACTAGTTAACATACACTTCTTCCTCTTTACTTTCAATTGTTAGGGGCTGCCTTTTGAAGAATTAAATTGTGTTTCATAATGATATGTAACATTTAAAAACTTCCAAAGTTAAGTCTGCAAAACAATCACTCAAAGAATTCGGGCTTCCATACTTGTTCCCTTTGTTATGTGGATGGAAAAGGGGCCACAGGCTAAACCTGCAAGCTCAGGAGATTGAAAATAACCAAATAAGATGGCGTGAGCGTAGAAAACTTTCATAATCAAGTGGGCCATGGTGGGAAGTCACATCTTTAGCTTCCTTCATAAAGTTAGTCTGTGCCTTTTCAGTGGGCCTCTCTGTTTTTCTGCACCTAAGATAACATCTTAGGAATGTCAGTAATCTGCTTTCTGGACCAGAGCTGGAAACTGCAAAATTCCTCGTTATCATGCTTATCTCCTGATTACCATCCCTTTGTGCTGTAAAAAAGCTAACTGTTAGCTATCCTGCACCCACCTATGTAAAGGAAGTACCTGTTTCTCCAATTTACTTTTATCCAACCCCAGAGGTTTCCCTGCTTTGCTCTCTCCCACCCCCTTAATCTGTCACCAATGGATTTCATATAACCTTCCTTCTTTGATTTTATGTATAAAATAAGCTGCAAGCCGCTATTTTGCAGAGCATTTTCTCAATCCGTTGAGATTTTGCTTCCCGGTAATTGTCGACAGTTTGGCTCAAATAAACTCTTATAAGTTTTCTCTTAGGCTGGATATTTTTCATCAACAGTTAGTTCCCTCCACTGGTCACCCTTTGCTCCCATTCCTAAGGCTGTGGGACAAATTACCCAAGATTTAGTGGGTGGACAACCCTTTATGACCCTCACTGACTTTGTGGGTCAGCAGTTCAGATGGGCCAAACAGGATGAGTTGACTCTGCTTCGTGATGTGGGGGCCTCGGCTGGGAGAGTCCAAGGCTGGGTGTGGGGCGCCTGTGGCAGGGCTGCTGGCACTCAGCCTTTCCCAGGGGGATGTCATGGGCCTCTCCGCATGCCCTGTTGGCTGGTTTCCTCACAGCAAACATCCTGAGATGAGAGAGGAGACGCCCGTGAGGCCATCTGACCTCAGAAGATGCACAGCACCCCTCTGCTGCCTTCCGCCTGGCAGGGGCCAGCCAGCACATCCAGGTTTACGGAGAGCAGTGTCTCCGTATCGCTTATGGAGTGGGCAAGCTCTGGAAGGAATGCCATGGCCACTTTGGGAAAATGCGAAGTGCCACATTTTAATGAGGTTTTGGGTAGTCCTTCCATTTTTAATGCTTAGAGACAGGAGAAGAAAGGGGAAGTCTGGATAACAGCCTTCCACAGTGCGTGGACCATGGGCCATGGCGGTGACAAGGAGGGACAGGAACACCAAGATAGGAAGTGGGGCCTGAGAACTGAGATAAGAATTGATCTGAAATGCCAGCAGGAAGCCCATATTTCTCCCTCAACTGTGGGGAGCAAAGAAGCTTATTCCTGTTTGAAGGAATTGAAGTTTTCAAAAATTGACTTGTAGGGCAGCCGGATCGCTCAGTTGGTTAGAGCGCGAGCTCTGAACAACAGGGCCGCCGGGTGGATTCCCACATGGGCCAGTAAGCTGCGCCCTCTACAGCTAAGACTGTGAACAACGCCTCGACCTGGGCTGCCGTGGGCTGCTGAGGCTGGCTGGTGGCCGGTGTGAGTGGCCAGCAGCCAGCGAGAGTTGCTGTGAGTGGCCGGCCGTCAGCCGGCAACTGACTGCCTCAGCTGGGTAGAGTGCAATGATCATGATACCAACACGGGCTAGTGAAGTGACGTCCTCCACAACTAGACTGAAGAACAATGTGTGTGTGTGTGTGTGTGTGTGTGTGTGTGTGTGTGTGTGTGTGTGAAATTGACTTGTAAACGCTTCTATATGAGGGACAGTCATTATTATGGGATTTACATTCAAAGCAACCACAAGCAGCTTCCTACATAACACGTAAGGCCTCCCTCTGTCCATCTCACTCAGAGGGTCTCTCTAGGGAGAAGGTGGGGATGGGGGGAATGACAGTAGTGTGCCAGGCGCTCTCCTAGGCGCTCATGGCCACACATCAAAACCTCACGTGACCTTGTCGAAGGCCATGTGGTAGGCAGTGACGACCGCTCTGGTGCCAGCTGGTGCCTGGCTTTGGATCTAGTGTTCTTTCCCGGGTATTTGGGCATTAGTTCTTTCTTTGTATTTACACCAGCTACTAAAAGCTATCGGTCAAGACTAAATATTTATAGAATATCTACTGCATTAATTGTTAATGTAATATTCAACTATTATCCATAGTGCAGAGTGCTTCTCTAAAGAAAAGCAGCTCAGTTATGTAGTAAAACCTCAGAAATGTACGTACTTCTTTAAGATAAATAATTTTTGAAAATAGTCCAAAGAAAGTCTTTTCTAATAAGACATAGTTTATATGAGTGTGTGTAGGGGTGTGCACATGGATACACGTGTGTGCCTGCGAGCTCATTTTTTTCTTTTCCTGTTTTGGAGCCTTTTGTGATAGGAGTCAGAAATATTATAAACAAAGACTTTTTAGGTACAATTTTGGAGATGATTCTTTGGCCTTGAGGCCTAAAATTTGTCATCAAAGAAGAAAGGTAATACATTCCTTTATTTCACATTTCAGAATATCATGCTGTTTGATTTGATTTAGTGTTACCCTCTGTTCCAAAAAATTTCTTCCCTGTTAAAGTGATGTCTTCAAGAAAAATTATGCTGTGAGAAACACTTGAGTGGCTTTTTCTGTTCCTTTCCTGTCCCCGTTTGGTCATAGCCATAGCTCGAAATAAGCCAGCTTCACCACATTGGTACCATGGTAGCAAGGCTGCTGTGGCGAGGCCATGGATTGGTACTGTAGGAGGAGAAAATTCAGACGGCAAATGTCCAGAACATGTCCTAACTTTCTCAGTACGAAAATAATTTAGAATGCAAAGGAGCTTTTAAGGGAAGATTCCTGAAAGCATAAGAAAGCTATTTAGAGCTTGAGAGTCCTGAATGGATGCAATGGAGACTGAGGACAAAGTCACCTTATCACCCCTTTAACACACAGGCTCTAGAACCAAACCCCCAACGCCAGGCTCAGGCCGGAGGCAGACTCTCCAGAATTCTCACTGGGAACCCCTTTTTCCTTCCCTCCCAGGTAAGGGTCTGGAGGTTCTGTAATAAGAGATAAAGCGGCACTGAGCTCCTAATATGCACCAGGCACAAAGGGCTCATGATAAGCCACAGCTGACATTTTATCTTTTAATCATCATGACACACTGTTGGGGAGTATTGCTTTCCTACTCTACAAATGAGGAAATGGGGGCTTAGAGAAGCCAGTTAGCTTAGCAGGGTTACCCAGTACCTGTGACCTGTGCATCTGATATTTAGATAGTCCTGGGTGGCAGAGGACCCTGAGGAAGCCATGTAGTTTTTTACTCACAAGGTAGAAAAGAATGGGCATTCACTAGTTTGGGAATGTGTGTGGGGGTGGGGACGGCAGGAGTGGAGCATCTCAGCAGAGGAACTGAAAAGGCTAGTGTTTGTGGGGGGGGGGAGCCCCTGCAATGGGTGTGCTCTTTCTGTCCTTTACCCAAAGACTGATTATAAGACCCTGAACCCTTTTTCCAGGGGAAGTGACCTGATCAGATCACATCTAATTTTAGAGCCACCCTTGGGCCTCAGTGTGGAGAGTGAAGGTTGTCAGGGCGGCAGAAAACCCAGGGGACCAGGCATTCTTTGCATTAGGGGGTCACTGACAATCTCTGAAGGTAGAGTTTTTGAGGACCTGGCAGGAGGAATGTGGACTGCAAGGGCCTGAGCAGCAAGTGGCAAAGAGGTGGGAAGGCCATCATTCAGGAGCGGGCCTCCCCCAACCCTCCATGCCAGCTGTGGATTGCAGCTCCCTGGTTCTTAGGCCCAAAGACGTTTGTCACTGGTTGGTGGCAGGTTTGCTCCACAGGCTTGCTCTTCTATTTGACTGTTCTCAAAGAAGGCGGATGGGGTGTGTGTGTGTGTGTGTGTGTGTGTGTGTGTGTGTGTGTGNTTGACTGTTCTCAAAGAAGGCGGATGGGGTGTGTGTGTGTGTGTGTGTGTGTGTGTGTGTGTGTGTGTGGTGTGTGTGGGGGTGTGTGTGGGGGGCAGCCTCAGGTCTGATGGTCCCGCTTTTCTCTCCAGTGTCTGTGACGTGCTGACACAGTCGGGGCCATGTGAAGGGAACCCAGCCAGACAGAATGCGGTGGGGTTAGTGTAGGGGTGCCCTCCGCGGTCCTGGAACTGAGCAGATACGGCCCTGATGGAGAGCAAAGGCTGCTGCTCTAACAGGCCCTGCAGAAGGGCGCTCACGGGTACAGGTGCCACTCGGCCTGTCCGGATGCTGAGGGTCCGAGCTCCTTTAAGATGCCAGCCTGGCCTGAGAGCAACGTTCTCCGCCGCAGCGCGGACAGGAGGTGACGGGATACGGAGGCGTCAGAGAAGGTGGCTCTTGGGTGCGGGACAGGAGCGAGGCAGAATCATCTTCCAAAGAAAGCCGCTTCATCGTCCAAAGAAAGACAAAGGGCAAAAAGGGTAACCCGGGGCGGGGGCGTGTCCTCCGGGCTGGGGGCGTGTCCTCCGGGCTGGGGGCGGGCCCGGGGTCAGGGCGTCGGGGCGTCATGAGGCGTGTCCGCCAGCAGGGCGCGTGGCGTCCGGCGTCGGGGGCGTGTCCGCCGAGGGGGCGTGCCCGGGACCGGGGGCGTGTCCGCCGAGGGGGCGTGCCTGGGGCCGGGGGCGCGGTGTCCGGCGCCTGAAGACGGAAACACTCGGGCCCCTTGGCTGCGGCGAGCGCAGGGCGGCGTGCGCGTCTGGCGGGCTCGGGTGAGGCAGTGGGCCTGCGGCGCTCGGGGGCTCCCGGAGGGCTGCGGGCTCGGGGCGGGGGCCCTGGCGGGCTGGAACCCCCTGGTGCGCTGGGGGCCCTCCCCCGGGCGCGGTGCACAGACCGCTCAAGGCGACTGTCCATTTTCAGGGACAGCAGGGCCTGGCGCTGGTCGGCCTCGCGTGCCGTGGAAGCCTCGGTGGCCCGCGGCGTGGGTTCTCACGGATCTCGGCGCGATGACGCCTGCGGCACCCGGCCGCGTCCTGCTGTGCTGCCTCGGCCTGGCCTTCGGGTACCTGTGCTGCGCGCACGGGCTCTGGAGCAGGTGCGCTACCTGGGCGTGCGGGGCGGAGTCGGGGCGCGGGGGCCCGGCCGGGTGGGGTCGCGGCTGCAGGAGCCGCGGAGGGTCCCCGCCCCGAGGGCCGGTGCCGGGGTCGCGGTGCGCCCGCGCTCTGGGGTTGCCCCTTGGAGGTCGTGGACACGCGCCTTTCGTTTAGATCCGGTACAGGCTTCAGACACGGTGGCAGTTCCTCCTTTTACGTTTCCGGAGCCAGTCCTTCCTTCCCCTCCTCGGCGGTCCCCTTTTTCCCTCTTCCTGTCGCAGCTGACTTACGTGTTAGGGTCCATAGGCTGTGTTGGGGCGGATCCTTCATTTTGTACAGGAAACGGGAATTTGAGTAGCAGATGGGAATTTTTTCCTTCTGTTTTATTTGAGCAGTGGTCGACCTGATAGGAGGGTTTCATCCTCATCTAGTAGGTGTGGGAAAAGGTGGCCTTTAACGTTTTAACGAACGTTTTAATGAAACCATTGCTGTTTTACGGTGTACTTTGAAAGGTAACGTTGTATTTCAGTTTTCCCAGAAAGCCATTGTTTGTAGAAGAGCTTCATTCATCAGTTAGCTGTTGCCAGCCTGTTAGGAGCCTGTCGCTGGAGGCGGGTGTGCTGTGCTGAGCGTGAGCTGCGGGCTCAGATGTAGTGTGTGACCTCCAGGCAGTTTGCTCATGTGTAGAAATAAAAACAGCGCCTGTCCTTAAATCAGTGCCTATACATAGAATCCCGCTTGGCCAAGCGTCATCAATCAGTGTGACCTGCAGACCGAGGCTGGAATGTGTGGTACCCCTCCGCCCCCTTTCCTGCACCTAATTGCACTGGACAAGCACCCTGAGCAAGGCTTGTGGAGCACACAGTTGGTCAGGACCTGGAGGGCTGCACGGATCCAGGCGGTTCCCCAAGTGTGAGCCGCGCCGGACGAGAACTTGGTGATGGGCATCTTCCCCTGCTCAGTGGGGCCTGTGCTTTTGGGGCGATGCTTCTCTGCCCCCGTTTTGCTTGGGTTGCAGGTGGCCATTGGGTTACAGACGGACGTTCTGAGCCTTGATAGTTTTAGTGTGAAGAGCACACCGACGGTCTGGTCTCCTGGCCGTGGCCTAGCCCTCCAGCCTCAGTGTTCACCTGTGTAAAGTAAGGTTTTTGTCCCGGGGCTCAGGGGAAGCCTCTAACAGTTCCCCAGCTGTAATGCTCACGCTGCAGTTCCTGTCTCTGTACTGAGCATTTGCATTAGGATTGCCTACTTACAACCAAGTTTCAGACGTCGTGAGTTCTGTACTTACTCAGCAGTGCTCACTTATTTACAAAAGCGAATGTGTAAGGACTTAGTTCTCTTTTTCTTGTGACTCTTTCCTTAAATGTCCCCGAATGAAGTGTCTGCTGGCATACTCCCACTGCTGCTGTGTTCCGCTTGTACTGTGAGTATTGCACAGGCGGCCCTTGCTGCCGCCTCCTGGCGCTGCCTGCTCCGAGTTCCCTGTGTGACCCAGCTCCGCTGTCCCTTAGGGGAAATCGTAGCCAGGTCTAGACAGAGCCCGGGGTCTGAAGGAGCGCCCGGGGCTGAGACGTTGCCTCTGCAGACAGAGGAAGCTTCACAGGTTCCGGTGCTGTCAGAGGCCCCTCAGGCTAGTGTAGGTCCTGTTTGCTGCCACGTGGACGACCCAGCAATCCCGTCTTCCGGGCCTGTGGGCTTCACCAGTGCAGCTAAGGCGCTTTGTGACTTGTTCCCTCACTGCAGGTCTCTGCTGCCCGCAGCACCTGGCTCCCGATCTAAATGTCCCCCCCATGCCTGTCTGCTTACAGTCTTCACCACATTTCACTGTCGGACACCATGAACATGCTTTACTCACCAGGTCATTGTCTCCCTCACGGGCACGTGCCCTCAGGAGATGGGACTTGCCTCTCGCTCAGGGCGGTACCTTGTCCCACAGTAGTGCCTGGTCTGTAGCAGGCACTCAGTGTTTCTTGAATGAATGATGGCATGAATAGATGGATGGACGGATGGATGGATGGATGGATGCATTTTTCTGTTACTTTAAAAAAGCTCTTGAAAAATGAGTTCCTTGTCTTTTAACAGTGACAACCATGAGTGGGAAAAACTGATTATGGTTCATCACTGGCCTGCAACAGTGTGCAAGGTGAGTGTGCGGGCCTCGACGGGGAACTCCATGAAGCGTTGGTTTATGTGATGTTTTCTCCCTGAGTGCCTCTGGCTGACAGTCTTCCTGCCTCTCCTCGTCCGGCCTGATGTTGGGGTGGCTAGCTGCTCCTGCACAGCTGCGCCTTCCCCGCAGGACACTTCCTCCAGGAGGGCCCTGTGTGAGAGTCCTGGGGACCGTGACACAGCACCACGAACTGGGTGACTCAGAACGTCAGGGATGTCTTCTCCCACAGTTCTGGAGGCTAGAAGTCTGCAGCTGAGATGTTGGCAGGGTTGGTCCCTTCTGGACGGCCTTTCCCCAGCTCCAGCTGTTGCTCGGCTGGGAGACACATCACTCCAGTCTGTGTCTTCCCGGGGTGCTTTCGATTTTGTGTCTCTGCTGCTGTAAGAACCCCAGAGATTGGATTTGGGGCCACCCCAATCCAGTCTGACCTCACCTTAACTTGATGACATCTGACCCTACTTCCAAATAAAGTCACATCCACAGGTACTGAGGGTTAGGGCTCCAGCATGACTTCTGGGGGACACGATTCAGCCCACCGCAGGCCCCGACTTGCCCCTCCCTTTGTTATTGCGAATCTTATTCAAACGCGCCTCCCGGGAAGGGGTGGGAGCGGAAGCCGTTCAGCCTCCTTGGCTCTGCTTGTGCCCTGCAGGTTGGTCGGTCTGTGGCTCTGTCTCGTCCTGTGCTCTGTGTCCTTTTAGATTGTCACTGCTGAGGCTCTCATGGAGCAGTCAGCTGGAGGGGCCCGGCCTTAGCCTGGTCCCTACAGGCCCTGCCCCGCTCACCCAACTTGTGGGCAGTTTGTAAAGCTGGAATGCGTTCCCGTTCTCACGTGTTTCATCACATTGCTGGGTTATTCCTAATTTTATTGTCAGTTTCTGAAATTTTCACAAGAAGTCAGAAGAGGCCTTTTAATGACTGCGAGCTGGAGGCGGCCTGTAATTGCCGTGTAGTTCCGGCGTCTCGTGAGACGTTGGGAGAACTCAGACCCTTTTCCTTCCGCATTCCGTAACCATGGCATTCTTTCCCACCTTGCCTGATTTATTTTCCTGTTGACCAATGAAAACGAAACTTCACTTGTTAGTCTCACCAACTTATACACTCGATCTGGAAACTCATGTCTAAAATGCAGACCACCCTGCTCTAGTCCTCTCTGCAGCTCCCTGTCCGCTTCTCCCTCCAGCGCTGTCCCTGCTCTGGGACAAAGTGGCTGTGGACGCAGGAGAGTGCAGTTGCCTGTCCCCAGAGTTCAGTTTTGTTGGAAACCTGGCCCCCAGGCAGTTAGGAACGGCGGCAGCCCCTGCTCCTTGCAGGCAGGGCCTGTGCCACGAGGGCCCCTGTGTTGGGGACCCCTGGAAGCTCTGCCCTTCAGGATGTGGGACAAGGTCGTTTGGTGGGTGAGGTGTGTATGTGACAAAATGTGGGTGTGTGCCTGTGTGCAGCTGCAACTATGCAGGGCAGTGCCTTCCTGCCTCGAGGCTTTAGAAATTAGATAAAAAATAATCAACAGTGAATGTCATTGTGAGGGTCCTAACTTCAGTCCAGGGGCCATGGGAGAGGTTCTGTTAGTCGCCACAAGGTCAGGGTGCCATCCTGGGCAGCAGTGCTGTCTGGGCGCCTTTCCCCATGAGTGATGTGGGCATCGTGGGTCCTGGGACAGCTCTGTTGTGGTGCTCAGCACCGCCCCTCGGGCACCTGCCAGGAGCAGGTGAATATGTGCTGACGAGGAAAGAAAGTGGCCCTTGGCCCCAGTCACCCCCCAAAAGTCTCCTCCGAGACATTGGATGTAGAGCCGGCAGAAGACCCACGCTGGGCCCTGGCTTTGCCCTTCGCCAGCTGGCACTGTGGGAAATGGCCCGCTGGCTTCGGCCTGTGGTGCCTCGGGGATGAAACCGGGGTGTCACAGGGGTGACATCTGTGACCTGTCGCTCTGATCCCTCGCTCTGTCATCCTGCTCTTCTGCCTCGTCACTCTGCAGCCTCCTCACATCAGATGTTTCAGTCACCTGACCACACCCTCCCTCATGTCGAGACCAACCTGGAAAGACGCCGCCTCCCCGCAAGCGGCAATAGCGGAGGAAGGGGCGAGACTGGCCGCCTCACCTGGCCCTCACCAGACCCTGACCTCTGCCTTTCGTTTGCGCATTCACCACGGGGATTTCAAAGTGAAAATCTATTTCTTAATGGTTGTTTATTTTGGGAAAGCTGCATTTTATCTGAACAATTTGGAGGTCCCTGAAAAGTGTTAGACAGATTTTTCTCTCTGATTTTATCTCTGTTTTTAAGTACGTTCTCCTTGTCTCACCTTGGCATTTTTATGGATCTAAATTTTCAGTACTCCCTATGTCACTGATATGTTTGAACCTGGTGCCTGAACAGACTTGAGTCCAGCAGTTTATCATGAGTCTTTGTCCTCAAGCGTTTCTTAATGGTTTTATGATAAGATTATTCATGGGCAAATATGAGTGTTTCCATCAGATTGAGTTAATTTGCAAGCACAATACAAAAGGAGCTAAAATAGGTTTTTAATTCTGTTATTTAGTTTGAAGAATGGTCCCCTCGTGGCAAACAGAACACCTGGCCCTGTGTGATTTCCTCATGAATGCGTTGCTGCATGAATGTCTCGTAAATTAACATGGAATTTGTTTTGTGTTAGTCCTGTACTGTATGTCACTGATTCGTGTCAAAAGAAAAGAATGTTGCTAAATGTATTTAAGCAACCACCCAATTATTTTCTTTGTGTCTTTCTTCCTAGGAGGTTGAAAATGACTGCAGAAACCCCCCGGATTACTGGACAATACATGGGTTATGGCAAGTACTCGGTGCCCTGGGAACTTAGCCCGAGGGCGCTGCTCACTGGAGATTCTAGCTCGAGTCTGGTCTCACATTTCGTCCTTGTGGTTTTGTTAGGAGTTGATGTTAATATTATTTTAGTGGGCCCTATAGTTTATTCATTAGACCAGATCCTCATTTAAAAATACCTTTAGTCTTTTGAAAGTAACGCTAATCCTGTTGTTTAGTTCTCTTTTGATAGAACAGTAACAGTCTAGTTTATTAATACGCATGTATGGATTTTGGGTATATTTTAGGATCACTAAATTTTAGTTTTCTCATGTTATCTTTTTGGGGCAATAAATGAGTGAGTGTGTGTATATGCCGTGTTTCCCCGAAAATAAGACCTCGCCAGAGAAGAAGCCCTGGCATGATTCCTCCAGGATATGGAGGGCACGCACCCCTCACATGAGGGTTTTATGACCTGTTTCCGGGAGAAGGGTGCCTGTTCCACAAATTCCTTCCGCTTAAAATATTCAGTATGCCAAGGTGTCATATTTTGGCACCTAAAATCATGCTACGGCTTATGTTCCGGCTAGGTCTTATTTTCGGGGAAACAGGGTAGGTTTTTTTCTGATAGCATGCACATTTTACAGAAAGCCAGTTATTTTTCTGGTTTTGCCTGCATTCTCTTTACTGTTTTGTTACTTGCACATGTCTTTGTAGCATTAAAGTGTGCACAGTAACTTGCTCCTTCAAAGGGACCGTTCTGTCCCGCTGCTGGGATGAGAGGAGGCCCGTCCAGCCTTTGCTGGTACGTGTGTCCTGCAGAAATGGGTCAGTGGAAGGCAAATTAAACTGGGGCCTGGGGCCCCACCGTTGCCCAGGCTTGTCGGCAGCCTGGACGCTTCAGTCCCTTGGACCCTGGCTTGCTGGGGTTTTCTGGCTCCTCTGCTGCCTCACCTGTGAGCAGGGATGACAATGCAGTGACGCTCCCGTCCCCTTGGGGTCGCGCTGGTTTCAGGTCAAGGCCAGCTATTGACAGTGGACGCACAATAGGGGTCTAGGGAGTAGAGTTGGTGACCTCGTGGACTAAGCTGCATCTCAAGACTGAAAGTTGACACGTGCAGAATTGACACGTGAGGACAGAATGACATACGAGGCAACATGCTTGGTGGTATAAAAAAAAATCACCCTGGGTCGTGTTTAGTCGTTACCAGGCACTGAGCCCATTAGTCACATTGTCCCCTTAATCCTCCGGCCATCGAATGAGACGGGAACTACTATTGTCACACTGTGTGTGGAGAGGGGTGTGCAGAAGGCAGCTGCTTGGACCCAGCTGCATACCCCCCGGACCCGACTCGGGGTTCCTTAGGCTTCCTCTGGGTTTGCATCGTTTTCTGATGTCATTTGGAACCCATCTCAACCGACACTAATCTCTCTCTTTTTTTTATTTTAAGGCCTGATAAAGCGGAAGAATGTAATCGATCCTGGCACTTTAATTTAGACGAGATTAAGGTAGTAACCTTTAATTAGATCACTGCTGCAGGGCACTGCAGGCGATCATGTCTCTGCTTCCTGAGTGTATCCTCTTTCATGTTGTAAAGCAAGGGGATCGTGAATGTGTTCACCAGGATTGAACCCTGGTACTTTAGTATTTATGAGTATCTAATTTATTCCCACAAATTAAACAAGAGCTAACCTTCTCCTCTGTCCTGGGCCTAAACCACTGGGAATGAACCACTGGGACGTGAAAGCGGGTGTGAGCACAGCGGGGGTTCTCGCCTGCCAGCCCCCGCAGTCCCCGTCTGTCCTGTCTCTCTGGGTCAGGCACTTCGAGGCGGCTGTGGCTTGGGAAGCGGGCACGTGGTTCCCATGGCTGTCCTTTGTGGCTGTGGGTGGGGTAGGCTTCAGTAGGCACTGGGATCGGGGGGCAGTGATGAGCCAGCCTTTCCAGTGCAAAGTGACAAAGGTCTTGTCACCGAGTAACTCATAGGATGGGATTACCAGACATGTTAGCGGAAGGCTCTTTGGAGACTCTTACCTCACGGACACACGCACGTGCTCACCTTTCCTCAGCGAGCCAACAAGCCTTGTGTGTAACCAGCCACCTGTCAGGGTAACTGGTCCCTGGACTTAGAGGGCAGGGTCCCCAAGGTCACTGGGGTCTCCTTGACGACACAGGGCAGAGTCAGGATTTGCTAAAATAATGGGTCCTTTCCATGAATGTGCGGCCCCCAGAAGGACAAAGTAATTAGTTCTAAACCCATCTCAGGCTCTGGGTCAAAAGGAAATATTTTCTACCTTTTCCTTCCATGGCAGCCGAGGGGCTGGGCCAGCTATAGGAATCAGTAGTATGTCCCAAAGCCTGGGGACGTCTCCCTCCTTAGACACACTTCCTTCTTCTGGACTCACTTCACCTCCCCTAGTACCTAAGGGACGCTACTGGATAAATCTTGTGATCCTGAAGTGGAATTTGAGCTGAATTTATTCAGTCACAGTGTGCTGAGTGCCTGCCCTTGGCCACGTGCTGTGCTAGGGTTGGAGACGCTCGGTGAGCAGGACCAGAGGGGGTGACTGGCCCACCCTGCTTACAGCCAGGGGACGGGCTCTGATGAAGTCGCTGCACACACAGAATTACAGCCTGGGTGCCTGGAGAGAAAAGCGGCCCGAGCTTAGGTCAGTGGGCCCGAGCGAGGCTCCTCTGAGGAAGGCTCCTCTGAGGAAGGCAGCTGAAGCAGCATGTGCAAAGGCACTGGGGTAGAAAGTGGAGCTTTTGGGAAAGTGGGAGGAAGGCGGTGTGGCTGGGGGTGAGCTCTGAGCCTGGATGTTGTTCAGCGCCAGATGCTATGGAACCTGGTGTGCCGGTTAAGAATCGTTTCGCTGACCTAAGTCCCAGTGGAAAGCCCCTGGAGGCCTTGCAGCCGGAGGTGAACTAACCCGGGAGGTCTTGCTCGTGTTGCCTGCCTGCCGTGTTAGTGCTGAGAGTTGGTGCGGAGGTCCCTGTGGGGTCCGGCCCCAGGGAAGACTTGAATGCATGGAGGCCGTCTGTGCCAATGGATAGGGGAGAGGAAGCCCCGGAGGGAGACTGTTGGGGCTCAGTGACTGGCTGGCCTGGGACCGCGTCACCCAGGACTCTGCCTATGGGCGTGTGTAGGTGGGTGTCAGTCCCCTTCCAGACACAGGGGACGCTGGCAGGGGACTGGGCTTGGGCGTGGGTGTGATTGATGAGTTGTTGGAAGTGCCCAGGAAGTGTGCAGAGGGTTGAGTGTGTCAGCAGAGAGGCCTGGGCTGGCCGTGAACTTAGCACAGAGATGGTAAATTCACGCGTGCCGCGGGTGTGAATGGAGGTGCCAGGTTGGCGGGCGGAAGCCTCCAGGGGCCCCAGTGTCTGAAAAAGCAGGAGAGAGGAGTGGGCGTGGGAGGGAGCAGCCCGGAGGAGGAGCCCGGGAGAAGGGGCAGTTCTGCTCCTGTGGGCGTGGGAGGCACCGACATGGCCTTTGGGCTGAGTGGCAGGTCAAGACAGGGAGGTGACTGTGACCCAGTCTTTGTTGAGATAGTGTTGGTTTACTTGTCTTGTAGCACAGTGTCGGATTTAGCATCTGTCCCAAACAAAAGTGGCCTAGTTTGGGCAAGAAGGTGTCTAGATACCTTCATCCCCCCGCAGGGCTGGTGGGGGCTGAAGCGAGATTGTGGAGGTGGAAGACAGGTGGGCGTGGAGACAGCCACGCACACAGCTTCCTGGGAGATGTTCAGCCAGGGGAGGTGGACCCCAGGGCCCAGTGGGCAGGGGAGGGGAGGGGCCTGGACTTAAATCATCTAATCACTGAGGGATTGATGGCAGGACCTCCAGACTGGGCGTGGTGGCAAATATGAGAAAAGTCATCCTGTGTGTTTATACACCTTTTTAAGGGAACCTTCTCTTCTGGTCTGGCGGGTGTGTGGAAACTGAAAAGTAAACTTGAACACCGTTCCATTTAGGTTAACTATGCAGAGAGTGTGGGCGGGGACTGCCCAGCCCCTAGGGCAGCGGTTCTCAACCTTCCTAATGCCGCGACCCCTTAATACAGTTCCTCATGTTGTGGTGACCCCCAACCATAAAATTATTTTCGTTGCTACTCTTATAACTAATTTTGCTACTGTTATGAATCGTAATGTAAATATCTTTTTGTTTTCTGATGGTCTTAGGCGATCCCTGTGAAAGGGTCATTCGACCCCCAAAGGGGTCGCGACCCACAGGTTGAGAACCGCTGCCCTAGGGGCTCTGCTGTGGGGAGGAGGGCTGTGTTTGTGTTGTCGTTTGTTTTAATTGGCCTGTGTTACTTTGCAGAGCAGTTTAGAAGCCTTTAGAAAAATTAAGTGGCTTGCATTAGTGTGGCACATTGTTACAATTGATGAATCAACATCGATACTTTATTATTAACTAAAGTTTATAGACTACATTAGGATTCCCTGTTGGTGTTGTGCGTTCTGCTGGTTTTGGACAAATGTATAATGACATGTACCCACCATTATAGTGCCATGCAGAGTAGTTTCGCAGCCCTAAACATCCTCTGTGCTCAGTCCACCCCTCCATCCTCCTCTCCGTCCCCTGGCAATCATGGATCCTTTCACGGCCTCCATAGTTTTATCTTTTCCAGAATGTCTGATAGCTGGAACCTATGATATGTGGCCTTTTCAGACTGGCTTCTTTCACTTAGTAATAAACATTTAGGTTTCCCCACATCTTTTCATGACTTGATAGCCCATTTCTTTTTAGTGCTGAGTACTATTTCACAGGATGAACCACAGTGGGTCATCCATACACCTACGAGAGCTTGTGTTTTCAAATGCACTGTTTTGATTACTCAAACTTCACTTTAGATATGTCTTAGGAAGCACCTGGGGCAAAATAAGTGCAGAAGCATTTTACTCACCGGAGCATTGTTAATGAAGAGAGCTCAGATCTTTTAGTGTATTCGTTTATCAAGTTTGCCTGCTAGGTTTTCGGTGGTTAGGTGCTACATACGTTCTTTTCTTTATATGCACAGGATCTTTTGCAAGACATGAGGATATACTGGCCTGATGTGATCCACTCGTCTCCCAATGGCAGCTTCTTCTGGTGAGTCTGACAGCCCTCACGAGCCTTGAGATGCGTGTGGGAGGGCCTCACGAGTGTCCTGAACAAACCTGGGAAGCACAGATGGCCGACGCCAGAACGGTCTTCCGAGGCTGAGAGGCTTTCTTTAATCTGGAACAATCCTTTACACGTTAGGCCGTTTTTTGGTGCCTTTCACCAACGGATCCAAAATGAGGGCAAGTGGAATTTACTTTATAAACTTGCTTTTCATCTGTTGTTTCACTCATTACTTCATTTTAAAAATTTCCACGACCGAGGCTTAACTAAGCCAAATACTTGCATAGCTAAGAAGCTGTCACTCCAATTCAGACAGGAGAGAGTAGTTTCTAAAGAAATTGCTCTGCTGTCTTGAAACATATCCAGAAAAAGGAAGATATAGTTAAGAAGTTACTGGTCTTCAAATGACTCACGGAGGAGAGAGGGTGCGATTTTCACTTGAGCCTTAGTCCTCAGTCTCGTCCAGTAAAAAAAAACTGTCAGTTTAGCAAGAGCTGAGCCGAGGAGGAAAATGCTGTGTTTAATGGAAGACAGCGTTTATTTTTTATTTTATTTTTTTTTAGCTGAGCCATCCTGCCACCTGTTGGCAGCTCAGCGGCAGCTCAGCTCGGGCCGGTCCTCGAACGAGTGTTGCTCAGAGCTCGCACTCTTGAGCGAGCTCTTAACCAACTGAGCCACTCGGCCGGCCCTGGAAGACAGCTTTTAAAATCATTGCTTTTGAAGAAGATAAAGTTAACATTTCTTTTATTTATATTAACTGAAGCTAATTGTTTATCTTCTCCATCTCACTCCAATATGGCAATTTATAATTCAGGTTACAACTAATCAGATTTTGTCCAAAATGGTTAATTTTACCTGGCCTACTTTTGTATAGAATTTTCAGGAAAAGAGTTTAGAGAAGAGCTTTTGAAAACAAAATGGAATGAAAATAACGCCTGTAGTCCGGGTCGCTTGTGTTCAGTTTGAGGTTCCTCTTGCGCGGATGTGGCAGGAAGTTGGTTTAGGACCCACGGATCCTGGGTCTGTCGCTTGAAACCCCTTCAGCACACGAGACCACCCGTGAACACGGGGGAGGTGGATCGTTTGGGTCTCTAGCACTTGTGTGCAGCCTGGTTCCAGGAAGTGCTTTCAAAATGGATTGTGGCCTTAATGACTGAAATAGGGAAAACAATGAGAAAGCACTGACATTGCACCTCATGGTATACTTTGAAATCGTGACCGTATGGTAACCACGTATACAAAATACAGTATTTCTAGTTGTTACAGTGTGCCAAGTTTTTGCCCAGCGGCTTAAAAACAAACCACCAAACATACATGAAGAAGGCCTCCTCTGGCTGGGCCTGTGAACATTTAATCAAAATATTGGGTTGTCGGAAAAGTCATGATGCATTTTTGCAACACAAAACAGAGAAAGTACGTCATGACTTTTCTGACAACCCAATAGTATGGGCAAAGTATGCACTTTTTTTGTGCTCGATAAAGGCAAAATGGTTTACTTTTTGAGGTTGGGTAGTTAAATTACACAATTTCTGTTCTAAATGAGAAAGGTAGCTATCACGGGCTAATTTACATTTATGCTTTCTAGAGCTGCCAAGTACAGAAGGGCATCTGGAGGCCACCATGGAGTGCTGTTGTTTGTCACTGTCCCCCTAATTACGCACTCGGGTCACGGGTGCCCGAAACACATTTACTGTGCCAGCTTCTGGCGGTGCCCCTGGGCCTCTCCACCTCGGCTTTGTCGTCCATGAGAAAGCTGTTGTTTTCAATCCAAATAAGAGTGGAGCACGCAGAGCAGAGGGCCTCATCCCGAGATTAAGACTATTAGTAAAATGAGATGTATTAAAAAATGCGACGTACACAACCCTGTGCAGCAGAGGGCTTGGTCTGTTGTTATGATTTTTCAGAAAGAACCCAATTTGGGCCATGCCCAGTTTGGCGAGGCAGCCCCGCTGTGCGAGGTGGCCTGGGCCTCAGCGGTCTGTCCCTGGGCCTCGTTGCCTGTCATCCCTGAGGCGCCAGGCGATAGGGGGAGGGTGACCCCGACATCTGCGCCCTGCCTGGGAGGGGGTGAGGAGTGAGAGGACCACACGGTAGTTCCTTCTGATCGGTAACTGACAACTGTGTTACGTGAAAAGTGTCCAGTTCCAAGTGATACGTGATGAAATGTATCTCAAAACTTCAATATATTTTTTATCCCTAACATCTGTTGCATTAAACCTGCTCCAGAAATAGTAATAGGTGACATCGAATATTTATTATGAGCGAGGAACTGTCTTTGCTCTTGCAAAGTGCAGCAGTGAGCGCGTCCGCTCGTCATCCTCCAGGGAAAAGGCTCCAGGACGATCGCTCCTGTTTGGCAGAGACTAAGGCACCGGCACTTCAGGTCACGCTTTCAATTAGTGGAAAGACCCTCCCTTTCCTGCTCCACAGAATATAGGAAGTTATCAAATAGTTGATTCTAGAAACTGTTCTAGATGAAGAGCGTTGGTTAATCACCATGTGTGCCCTTCCTCGCGGCTCGCTCGGGTCTGGTGGGCTGCCCCCCGGCCGCTGAGGCTCTGAGAACGGCTCCCTGGCCTGTTGCGGTGAGTGAGAGCGTGTGCCGGCGGTGTCCTGACGGTGTGCGTGTGAGTGCCTTGTGAAAGCGCGTGTGGATGTCACTTAGGACACTTCACAGGTTAGCCGCTGATAGAGCGGGGGAAACCTGATGTCCATTTCATTTTTCATGCTGGCAGTGGCTACCGCCTGCGCTGACGAGCTGGCGCCATTCAGAAGGTGCGTCTAAATTACCCTCAGTCCTGACGGGACGGATTGCGTGGCAGTGCCACGGGACGGCCTTGAACGTGGGGTCAGGGTGGCACAGAAGTGCAGACGCCAGGACTTCCGGGCCGAGTGGCCTTCAGCAAGGCAGCTAGCTACCCCTCCAAGCCTCGGTTTCCCCATTTCTAAACCAGCAATGATATTTTCGCATCACAGAGGTGTGAGAACGAAGAATGTGAAAACATGTTGTAAAACTTTAATCCTCGATAAAATGTAGGGAATTATTACCAATCACAGTATTTTTCTTGGCTGCAAATGGGGATTGTTTGCAGACATTGGTTTGGCTGGTGTCTCCTGACACGGCCATGCAGGCAGTAGTTACAAGCAGGGGCTGAAATGGGGACTAGGCCTCGGGCATTCGTAGCTCTCGGTGGTTCTGCCTTCCATGCCAGCTGCTTGGAGGTGACTTCCGCCTCGCCCGTGGAAGTCCCTGTGCAGAGCCCCGGCTATGGCAGGACAGCGCCAGCGCTGCCAGTGTCTGTGGGTGCGGGAGCCATGGCGCTCCCCCCGCTCTCAGCCTTGCTTGTGGTTAATGAGCTGGCCGGCGGTGCAGACCCGGGCGGACAGAGAAGCGTGTCCCGGGGGCTGCACTGTGTTCCCGGGACTTGTTCTAAGCGGAGGGGCTTAAATCACGGCCTGTGTTTCAAACAAGGAATTTTACCTTTCCTGCTTGGTAAAAGCAGTGAGATGGCCCGGGCACGTGAATACCCTGTGCAGGGAGAGATCCTGTGGAGCTTTCGTTGTGTGTTAACCTTTTATTAGTTCCATTACTTTTCAACGAAACACTTTTAAACATCCCCACAGGAAGCATGAGTGGCAGAAGCACGGGACGTGTGCGGCCCAGCTGGACGCCCTCAATTCACAGAAGAAGTACTTCGCGAAAGGTCTAGATCTGTACAGGGGGCTCGCCCTGAACAGGTAGGTGATGCTCGGCTGCTGCTCCACACAGGTGCGTCCCCTCTGCACCTGACGCCCTCAGGTGTGACGGTCCCCTTCACGGGGGTGACTGCAGAGCCCTGCCTCGAGTGCTGGGGACCCTAGTGAGTGGCCAGCGGAATCCTTCTAGTACTCGCGTGTCCTGCCAGGACTTCCCACATCTCCCTGGGTGACGGCCACGCAGGGTGGACATGGACACTCAGGCTGCCTCTCCAGGCACGGACGTCCTTGGACGGTGAGTGAAGTCGGCCTGGGAGAACCAGCCTGTCCAAAGCGCGTCTTCAGCCATGACTTCTGACAACAGTATACTGTTAACACAATGGCTTCTCAGGACTGAGCAGTAATCTTTGGGCAAAGCAGGGAGAGGTGGAGAGCGAGAGTCCTTGAAGCCCCAGGAAGCACCCAGACCATGGAACTCTGCCACTGCCTGCGTCTCAGCCCTGGAGACGGGACAGGTCACTGCCCGTGAGCTGCCAAACTCATGAAAACCATCACCAGGCTGTCCGTCAGGCCTGGCCCGTCACCAAGTGGCGTTTCTGGTGTGGTGACTTCTTACTCTCCTTCATCTAAGTGGCCATAATAAACCGGTGACTAGCTCTCAGAACCGGGGCTGGAAGACACAGCGTGCATTGGTCAGAGCAAGCCAGACCCTGGAGGACCTGTGCAAATCAGCTGTGAAGTAAATCTGCCGGAACACGGCTGAGCGTCCGCCCCTCGGCGTCCACAGTGGCGTCGCCGTCCCGCACAGACACTGCCCTGTTCGCTGTGACAGCTGGGACGGGACAGCACCGCCACACGGATGCCCTCACATACAGGCCGCTCACAAGCCCGTGCGGGACCCGCTGTGCCTCTGACCCACCAGTGGACCGTTGGTGTCCTCTTCCCCATTGGGCCTCTTTCCGTGCTGTGAGATGATGTCTGGGGCCCCCCAGACTCTGGAGTCCCATCAGCCCTTCCGTGTGCAGCACTGGGTACATCTCAGGATGCGGCGGGGACAGCAGCCTGTCCCAACCCTGTGCGGTGTGATCATGTGATCATCGAGGCTTTTGTCGGGGAAGCAGCTTTCTCGCAGCAAGAGCAGGGTCTGTGGAGCGCCCCCTCGCCCCAGAGTGTAGGGGACGCCTGCTCCCAGGTCCTCACTGAGCTCAGGGGCAGCGTCTGTCCAGCGCCGGGAGCAGCGGAGGGGCCAGCGGGGAAGAGGCAGGACCTACGCGTCCACTGCGGGCCGCGCTGCGCAGGTCCAGACCTCGCTGTCGGATCGTACCACAGACTACGCGTCGGGTGGGCTCCGGCCGACTGCAGCCCCGGGAGAGGAGAACAGTGGGTGTTGCTGCAAGGTTTCAGTATCTCAGTTACTCATCCATTCATCCAGCAACTCTTCATTAAGTCCTTCTGTTCACACCGTTGAATCCCGGCAACTTCACCTGTGGACACACGTGCACAGCGGCACGTCCCACACTCACTGGGGCACACGCGAAGCCAGCGGGCCCAGCCGCGGTGTGGGGAGGGAGACGCCGTGTTTGCCGAGGGACGAGTGCGACTGGGGAGCTGCTGTTGGTCAAAAACTAAGGATAATTACAGAGAAATCATATTCTTTCTCAGTTTCTCCAAGGAAAATCTAAAATCTCAGTACTCACAAAATTAAAATTATGTCCAACCTCAAAATCCCTTGTATTTTTTCTCTCCATTATAAACCATTACTACAGATTACCTTTTCTCAGAGGCAGGCCTGTCACCTTATCATGAGCTAGCAGTTTTTTATTCACTGTGTAACAAAAAGGTCGCCAGCCTGACAAAATGCAGAACATCTGGGACCCGATGTTCTCGACTGCCCAGCGGCCTGAGCTCCGCAGAAAACAGCGCGCTGATGGGGCCTCTGGCCCCTCCGCAAACACCTCTCCCGTTATTTCCTTGATGACCTGTCAGGAGGGCTGTAAACAGTGCAGCCCAGGGCACGCTGGGTGCGAGCCACATGGGCGCTTTTAAATTTTCTAGTAGCCTCATGTGAAAGAGCAAAAACAGGTTAACTTTATATTTTGTTTAATTCAACATATTGAAAATGTTATCACTGCAACTTGTAATAAATATAAAAATTTGAGAAATCGCGCCTTTTGGGGCACAAAGCCTTTGAAATCTGGAGTTTACCCCACGCTGACCACACAAGGGCAGGCAGAGGGACCCTCGCCACCCCACCCCCTGCTGGCTGCGGGCGCACCTCAGCGCATAGCCCGAGACCACAGTGCCATCCTGAGAAGCCGTTGTGTTAATGATGTCCTGTTGTCGGAAGTCATGGCTGAAGACACCCCGGCCAGGCTGGTTTTCCCAGGCTGACTTCACTTACCGCCCGAGGACGTCCGTGCCCGGAGAGGCAGCCCGAGTGTCCCTGTCTGCTCTGCGTGGCCGTCACCCGGGTAAGGCAGAGGGGCGTGATGGCGCTGGAGTAGTTTTCTGGAATTCTGAGCCTGAGAACTCTCTGCACCTCCATAGTGTGGCAAGTTAAGCACGAGACGCTTCAACAGGTTAAACTGCTTTAGGGAACGCTTCCAGACTGTAGGTGTTGAATATATTTCAAGATTCGGCCAAGGGCCCTCCCAGGATGAGCCTAGAATCCAAATCAGTTGTGAATTCCCTGGGGGGTGGCGAGTAGGTGGTTGTGGCCACCTGGACACGAGAGAGGGTCCCGGGGCTGGAGACAGTCTGGTCAGTGGGGCCCGGGGTGCGGGTGGCCCAGTGGCCACAACCCTTAATTCACTGTCCTTGTAACAGATTCACTGCCCAAAGGCACAGGGAAAAAGCAGTCACCTTTAGGAGCGTCTTAATTTTTACTGTGAAATGCGACTAGGAAAGGAGGTGACTTTGATTCTACCCCTCCTGTTTTCCCTTTTAGCATGCTGCAGAAACTGGGGATAATCCCATCTGGCAATTACTATCAGGTGAGTCTTGCGTTGGGCTTCTTGTGAAATGCCTCTACTAACCGAGGGACACCTGGCGATACTAAAATGTTGCTTCAGCCTATGAGCCGCACGTGGGCGTTACAGTTCCTTTCCTACTTGACTGTTACATTTCTAACTAGGTTTTGTTTAAGCTTTGTTTTCCTGTGCCCAGTGGGTATGAACTGGAGACGACTGAAAGCAGTGATTTGGAAGCACAGGTGTGTTCCAGGTTCGGACAGGGCAGGCGGGATAAGTTTGGAAAGCAGCCAGTTTTCTATTTTTGAGGAAGAAACATGCAGTTTGTTTTTGTTTTTATGATGAAACTATGATTTTTGTTTTTCTGATAAAATGGTAGAAACTTAAGCATGACCAGATCTTATTGGCTGGTAAGCATACACAAAAGGTAGCTGTTTTCCACGAGGGCAGCCTGTTTGCTAAGCAGTGTCGTGTTGGCTCGTGGCCACGCCTGTCCCTTTCCGGTCTGTCTCCTGTGGTACCCACCTGAGCAGCCGCCCAGCAGAGGCACTGCGTGACTGTAGAGCCTGACATACCCTGGGCCTTTACTGGGGAAGCTTGCTGACACACTTTGGAGAAGCATATCAGATTCTTGGAGATAGCTTTTGTACTTGTCCCAGGTGTGGATGAAAAAGGTTAGAGCCCCGAGAGGAATCCTGCGTTTCTGGCATCGGTTCTGGCATCGTGGCCGGACACTGAAGCACCCGAGGTGTCTTGACGGTGCTGAAATCCGCGCTCTCCAGTCCTGCTCTGTGGCGCCTGCACCCGGCTGTGCATCTGGTTGATCTGTTTCCCTCTCTGCATGGAGCGTAGGGACAGGAGATGGTGACCTTGGGGACTGAGTATCGGCTGTCTGTGATGCCCCTTCCAGGAAGCCGTGAGAGTGTGTGTTTGAGCCCTTCAGCCCCCATCTGGACACTTTCAAGTAGATAAGGGGAATGTGTGTTTCACTGTTGCCCAGACTTGACATCAATGATGATAAACAGAACTGATTTCAATGATAATAAAAGCGACAATGACAGCAAGTGTGTTTGAGCTCCTCTGTGCTGGAGGCAGTCAGGTATCAGAGCTAGCACAAGGCCTAACTGAGACAAGGGTAGGTGCTGGCCTGCGAGAGCTGGTTTGATTTACCATCAGCAGGTTTTCTGCTTTGCACCTGGCACCCAGGCCCTGGATGTGGAGAGAGCGTGCAGAGGAGAACAGAAAGTGAGGGCGGGTGGCTGCATGGAGGCGACATCCTGCCCTTCGGTGGGGGTGGGGCCTGCTTTCAGCACCTGTCTTGTCTGAATACACAGCTCTTTGATTTTCTCTGTTGAAGTTTCATTTCTAACGCACTTTATTGAATTTCAGATTGCAGACATCAAAGATGCCCTTGCTGGCTTATACGGAGTCATACCTAAGATCCAGTGTCTTCTGCCAAAGCAGGTCAGATGTCCTGTCTTGTTTTCCTCTCCATCCTTATCGAGAAGACAGTCTCCTCTTTCCTGGCAGCTTTGTGCTCTGTGGAGTTCCTGGGACGGAGTTGCACACGTGTGCACGCATGTGCGTGTGCATTTGCACTTGGGCATGCGCTGGGCGTGTGCTGTGTGTGTTGACATAGCAGGCTGTTCTTTGCTGCCATGATAGGACAGGGTTTGCTCTCCCCCAACTTCCCCTCCCACGAAAGCACCTTTCTGGAAGGGCTGCTGGAGTGGGGAAGGGTGGGGTGCTGCCCTAGTTCAACATTTCAGAGGTGGAGGTGTTCCCGTTGCCAGCCTTAGTCGTGTCAGCTGAGGTTACCTGTCCAGCTGTACGTGAGCTGTGGTTTGCAGTCAGCTGACGGAGACTCAGTTCTTCAGCGGCAGGACGCCCTTCACCTGCTTGTCTGCAGGAGCCGTGTCCCCTCCTGGGATCGTGATGCCTGTGCTGCTGTGCGGTTGTGTCTGCACCGCCTCCGTGGTTGTGCAGGTTGCCAGGGGAAAGCGCTTCACACCGGCCACCACGCTGGCCTGGGAAGCCTCTGGGTGGGGACCTGGCCCAGGTCAGCGTTAGAGGAAGGGGCTTGTTTCTGGGGCCCGGACCCCAGGCCGCAGCTGCCTCTTGTTCAAGTTCAGGATTGTGATGATCATACAGCTGTGACAATAATCCCGGGTCTGAATCCTAAAACGTCTTCTACTGCTCGTGTTTAGGGTGAGGAGGTACAAACCATCGGTCAGATCGAGCTGTGCTTTACCAAGGATTTGCAGCTGCGAAACTGTACGGAGCCGGGGGAGCTGGCAGCCGCCGGGCAGGGAACGTGGTCGGCAGGGGCAGCCATGGGCCTGCAGGTCTGCAAGGATGGCCCCGTCTTTTACCCCCCGCCCCAGGAGACAAACCACTGATGCCCACGTTTTGGAAATTCGTACTCTGTGTTTTGAACAGCAAGAGAAATTCGCAAAGCGTTGCTTTTGAAAGGGCAACTCTAATGTGCAACCTTGTTCTTACAACTTCCTGTAATGTCAGCCTGTTTTGCTGTTTTGCTTTTCACTTCACGTCTGTGAGTTGATTTTTGTAGAACATTGAATAAAGCTTAGGTTTTCTTTTTTTTCTCCTTTATTAATCTCGGTGGCATCTTTGGACTACAAGGCACCTGGGCATTTGCATAGATGGTGCGGACTCAGGACAACTCTCACCGGTGTCCCTCAGCGAGCTGCTTCTTGGCCCGGAGGAAGGGGGCAAGCGGGTGGGGCATCTTGGGGCCTGCTCTCAAGCTGAAGGGCATCTCTACCTCCTGCCTCAGGGTTGACATTCCTGTTCCACGAAGCCAGAGGTGACAAAACATGGTCACCTGTGAGCGTCTCCCTCTGTGGCCTGGCGTGGGCACAGGCATGTCCCCTGGGGGCCCCGGTCCTCCTGGTGAGGCTCTGAGGATGGCTGCAGGATTCTTCTCTCGCCAGAGGAAATGTGGGTGTTTGCAAAGTACCAGGTGGCTTCTTGTTCAGGCAGTAGGTGCTGCCTTGCAGGCTAAAATTCGCAGGTCAGTTTATACAGGTTTCACGTGCTTTCTGTCAGAAGGTGGCCTGGGCTGCTGGTAAGTCTGTCCTTAGAAACACTGATCTGATGTGGCCCCGTGCAGCGCTCCATCCCTAGGTGGTGCACCCTTCCTGTTGGTGGATGACAACATGGCTTTTCTTGTCAATGGTGAGAGCCCAGGC